GCGGGAGCTGAAGCAGTCTATCCCGAGGACACAACACTCCCCCGCTACACACAGAGTGGCCTCCAGATACTTGGCCTCGTCACCCAGTTTACAGCACGGCGCCTCCTAAGGAGCCTGCCACAGTCCAGTAGGCTCTGGGGGGGGAGCATAGGGAAAAATGGCGCGAAGCCATGGACAAGGAGTTAAAAGCGTTGGAAGAACGGAACACATGGAAAATCGTTCCCTTTGGCATGGCACGCAACAAGAAAATGGGTTTTTTTCGCGTGAAAACAAAGGCAGACGGCACCATCGACAAGTTTAAGGCGCGCTGGGTCGTACGCGGCTTCGACCAAGAGCACGGACGCGACTTCACCGAAACGTTCGCGCCGGTCAGCCGACACACTTCGCTGCGGATCCTCCTCGCGATAGCCACCATGAAGAAAAAGAAACTGCGCCAAATCGACGTCACTAACGCTTTCCTCTACGCACCTGTCGACGCTGAGATATTCGTCTAGCGACCACATGGCTCCAACGCAGACCCCAACCAAGTCTGCCAACTACTGAAGTCTCTCTACGGCATCAAGCAGGCTCCGAGGCTGTGGCAGCAGTATCTACACGCCCGACTCATCCGCATCGGATTCCGCCAGCTACCGCACGACCAGGGCATGTACCGGCTCACGAAAAGCAACGACTACATCCTGCTCATCGTCTACGTGGACGATCTGCTCTACATCGGCTCGACCGACGGCGTCACAACCTGGTTCGAAGGGGAGCTGCAACAAGACCCCACGCTTGCGGTCTCATCTGCCGTAATGCAATACCTCGGACTCAATATTCAGGAAGAGGAGAACGCGATCTACCTCAGCGCCGCGAAATACGCCGACACCATCGCCAAGCGCTTCGGACTCACCCCGACCACTATCTCCACACCATATCGCTACACCGCCAGAAATCACAAGGAAGGCTCAGCTCCGCTCAAGCCCGCCGGCATACGCGACTACCAGAGAAAGCTGGGATGCCTCCTCTTCGCAGCCGTCACCTGCCGACCGGACCTATCGTACTCAGCGAGCCAACTCGCCACCTACCTCAAGAAACCTGAAGCAGAGCACATGGCGGAGCTCGACCGCGCACTTCACTACCTCGTCAGCACCCCGACGATCGGTCAAACTTATGACGAGACCGGAACCACGACAACTAAGTTAATCGGCTACGTCGACGCTGACCACATCGGTGACTCCGACAACAGGCGCTCGCGCACCGGCTACATCTACCGACTCGAACCTATCGGACCTATCTCCTGGCAGTCGAGCAAGCAGGAGCTAATCGCTCTCTCCTCAGCTGAAGCAGAATATATCGCACTCTGCTCAGCCACCAAAGAAAGATTGTATCTTTGCGAACTACTGGAAGAAGCGAAGCTGGCTCAGTTACCCAGCTTCTCCCTGTTCTGCGACAACCAGTCTTCAAATCATATAGCCAACAAAAACGGATTCGCGAACAGAACGAAACACATCACTCTGCAATATTTCTTCGTGAAGGACGAGATCGAGAAGGGCGGACTTGAGCTGTCCTACTGTCCCACATTCTAGATGGCAGCAGATTACTTGACCAAGAAACTCGGAAAGCAGAAGTTCGAGTATTGCATGCTGCTGACTGGACAAGGCCACGTTACCAGCAGCGACACTCCAGAGTGTTGGAAAGAAGTAACTCAAGAGATTCTTATGTGTCGAAAACATCAAGATGTAATCGAAGCAAACTACAACGCAACAACAGCGAGTCAACCTTCGAAGGTTGACAAGGAAGGCAACTGCTGGAGGTTACGCGAAAGTCAAAGGTCAGCGACCTTTGACCTGACAAGTACAGCGCGACAGCAAGGACAAATGCCCGAGTCGTCACTGTATCGAACCGCAACAGCAACAGTAAAACGGTTACCGTATTACCATATCCGCCCGGATATAAGACAGTGTTGAATAGTAGACAGGGGTTGTCTACTATACGGGTGTCTCTTATAAACAGGCTAGCCTCATTATAAGACACCTATTTGTGTGTACGAGATAAGACATATGTGTCTTATAATCGAAACTGCAATATATTAGAGTGAAAATTGAAATATCGCGTACATTTTTACCCTTGCGACATGCGAATTCTGCCACGTGCTGACTCACGTACTACCAAATCTGCCTCTGCAAGTTTTCTCCATGACGTGGCTTCTCGAACAATGGTTGTTGAAGTGGCACCTTCGCAACATCCACACTCATATTTAGAAACTCTTTTCAAGATGTGAAAAAATATTTCTAAGTAATTAAAAAAAGTTTCCATTTATAAGACTTATAAGACGCCCAAAACCTTCCCAAATATAAGACAACCCAAGCATTTTTTCTAGTGTACGAGATAAGACATATATGTCTTATATCCGGGCGATGACGGTAACTGCATCTCTTCATATTCCTTGTACTCTTTTAAAAAAACATTGTATCTCCTTGCTTTAATCAATCTACTTTGTGTCAAACTATATAGGTTATATTTGTGTAGGCTGTAGTGGGGTAGCCAATATGGGGTACATAACTGCTAGGGTTTCATACTTGTACCCAACTCTGTTCTAGTTCAATCATTTTCTTATCTCTAGTTTCTGACATGGTTTCAGAGCAGTAGGTCCGTAGGACCGTTTTTTTCGGGCCCACCTACCGTTGTGGTAACTAAGCTGCCCCACGTGTTGCCTGCGCTGCGCCGCCCGCGCGCGCCTTGCCTTGCCTGCGCCTTGCCTTGCCTGCGCCTTGCCTTGCCTTGCCTGCGCTGCCCGCGCGCGCCTTGCCTTGCCTGCGCCTTGCCTTGCCTTGCCTGCGCCTTGCCTTGCCTTGCCTGCGCTGCGCTGCCCGCGCGCGCCTTGCCTTGCCTGCGCTGCGCTGCCCGCGCGCGCAAACCCTAATTCAGCGCGCAGCCCGCTGCTGCCCCGCGCGTCGCGTCCGCCGCCTGCGCAGCCCGCTGCTGCCCCGCGCGTCGCGTCCGCCGCCTGCGCAGCCTGCTGCTGCCCCGCGCGTCGCGACCTACGGCAGCCCTGCGCGACGCGTGTTGCTGCCCTGCGCGTCGTGCCCTGTGGCAGCCTGCACGTCGCGCGGTGCTGCCCCGCGCGTTGCGCCCTACGGCAGCCCGCGCGACGCGTGCTGCTGCCCTGCGCGTCGCGCCCTACGGCAGCCCGCGCGTCGCGCGCTGCTGGCCCGCGCGTCGCGCCCTACGGCAGCCCGCGCATCGCGCGCTACTGCCCAGTGCGTCGCGCGCTGCTGCAGCCAGCGCGTCGCGCCCTACTGCCCTGCACGTCGCGCCCTGCTGCAGCACGTGCGGCGCGCCCTGCTGCCCTACACAGCGCGCGCCCTGCTACCCGCGCAGCCCAGGCCGAGCCGAGCCGCCCTACCCGACCCGATCCGCCCTCCTGCTCGTGCTACTACTGCTGCTGGTGGAGGTGCTGCTAGGAGTGCTGGAGGTGCTGCAGCCTAGCCTCACCGGGCCGCTCTACTGCTCTTACTGCTGTTGCTGCTGCTCGTGCTGCTGTCTTCCCTCCGTACCGCCCTCCTCCTCGCACGCCTCCTTGCTTACCCGCTATGACTTCCCTTCGTAGTAGCGGTGGGAGTGGTGGCGGCGGCGGTGGCGGCAGTGGGAGTGGTGGCGGCGACCATAGTTGCAGTCGCGGTGCGGAGTTTCTGGTGGTGGTGAGATCCAGCTACAGTGGCGTCCGAGCGAGACCCTTCCACCCCAGCAGCTTCATGCGTGGTACGCTCAGCGTTGTGCGTCTCGGAGAGGTGGCGGCGGCCGTAGTAGCAGTCGTGGTGGAGCTGGTCAGTGCGGAGTCTCTGGCGGTGGCCAGATGCAGCTGCAGCGGCACCCGCGTGAGACCCTTACGCCCCGGCAGCTGCATGAGTGGTACGCTCAGAGTTGGGGGTGTAGGACTACTGCTCGCTGCCCGTACGTCATTCGCACAGGTGATCGAGCTGGTCAGACCTGCGGGACAGTTAGTCGTACAGAGTCCTGCTGCTTCTCTTGTCTGAGCGACGCTTGGCGAGCACGGTTTGGCGACGAGACTGAGCTACCCCTCTGGCTAGAGCTGCTTCAGGACGGAGTAGATATATTTGCCTTAGACTATGACACTATCCTTACTGCCATGTATGCTTTGACTGGTACTTCTGAAGGTGACTGTTATCTGTGCGTGCCCCCTGACCCTGGTATAGCGGGCCGCTGCTCTAGGTGCTAGTGAGTCTGCTCTCTCTAGTACTGCACCTGCTCAGGCCTTGCACACCTTTACACTTGACTCTGGTGCTTCCCGCTGTTTCTTTCGCGACAGTACCACGGTCACACCCCTCCCTGCACCTGTCCCTGTCTCACTGGCTGACCCCTCTTGGGGCCCAGTGCTTGCACGGTCTACCACTGTGCTTCCGTGTCTGGCGGTCCCGTCTGGTGAGCTGTCTGGTCTCCACCTCCCCACGTTCTCTACGAACTTGGTGAGCCCTGCCGTGCTTCAGGATCACTGGGTTGACACCTTTACTCCTGGAGGACAGCGGGTGACACACTGCACGTGCTCTCGGACCGGCCGCCACCTGGCCACGTTCACACGTGCGCCTGGGTACAGTTTGTACACCCTCACCACTGTGTCGCGTCACGCCACTTTGTCTCCTCAGCTGTACGCGTCTGCTCAGGTAGCTACCCAGTGTGAGTGTCGTCGCCAATCGCACGACACTCTCCTGTGGCACCACCGCCTTGGTCACCCCTCCCTGCCTCGCCTTCGTGGCATGCACTCTCGCTCCCTGGTCTCTGGTCTTCCCAGGTCTCTGCCTGCCCTCCCTCCCTCGCCTGCGCCGCCCTGCATTCCTTGCGTCGAGGGGCGGCAGCGCACCGCTCCTCACTCCTCCTCGTTCTCTCCCACGGAGGCTCCGCTGCAGACTCCCGACCTGGACGTGTGGGGCCCAGCCCGCGTCCAGGGACAGGGCCGCGAGCGGTACTTCCTGCTGGTTGTCGATGACTACACGCGTTACACCATGGTCTTCCCCTTGCAGCGCAAGGCGGATGTCCCTGCTGTCCTGATCCCTTGGATCCGCGCTGTTCATCTCCAGCTCCGCGAGCGGTTTGAGCGGGACTTTCCTGTCTTGCGTCTGCACTCTGATAGAGGTGGTGAGTTCACCTCCGACCTCTTGCGAGCCTTCTGTGAGGAGCACGGCATCACCCAGTCGTTCACGCTTCCGGCCTCTCTGCAGCAGAATGGGGTTGCTGAGCGCCGCATTGGCTTAGTCATGGAGGTTGCTCGTACCTCCATGATCCATGCAGCGGCTCCCAATTTTCTGTGGCCGTTTGCGGTCCGGTACGCCGCACATCAGCTCAACCTCTGGCCCCGTGTCTCCTTGCCGGAGACCTCGCCCACACTGTTGTGGACGGGGGAGGTTGGCGATGCATCGCGTTTCCGTCTCTGGGGTGCTCGTGCCTTTGTCCGCGATCTCACCGCGGACAAGCTCTCTGCCCGCGCCATTCCCTGCGTCTTCCTTGGTTTTCCCCCTGACACGCCTGGCTGGCAGTTTTACGACCCCACCTCGCGCCGTGTCTTTGCGTCTCAGGACGTCACCTTTGACGAGTCCGTCCCCTTTTACCGTCTCTTTCCCTACCGCACTGCCCCTCGCCCCCCCCCGCCGCTCTTTCTCGCTCCAGGTCCTTCCCAGGTAGACCCCCTCCCCGCGCCAGGTCCTACTCCTTCAGGTGTTTCTCAGGTAGATCCTCCTGTGCCTGTGCCTGTTGAGGTCACTGGTGACTCAGGTCCTGCTGGGGGTGGTCCTGCTCGGGGTGCTGTCTCTGGGGGTGCTGAGCCTGGGGGTGCGGAGCCTGAGCGAGAGGAGCCTGGGGGTGCTGAGCCTGGGGGTGCCGAGTCTGAGGGTGCTGAGCCTGCGCGTGAGGGGCCTGAGGGCGCGGAGCCTGGAGGTACTGAGCCTGAGCGTGAGGAGCCTGGGGGTGCTGAGTCTGGGGGTGCGGCGCCTGAGGGTACTGCGACTGCTGGTGCGCGGTCTCCTTGGAGTGGCCGCCTTCGTCTGTGTACGCCTCTCACCTCACAGCAGCTGCACGAGTGGTACGGTCGCCGTCAGGGTCGCGCTGCTGGAGCTCGGGGCTCTACTGCTGGAGGTACTTCTGCTGACGTCACTGGAGCTAGGAGTGGTGCTGGTTCTTTGCCTGCTGGAGGTGCTGAGCCTGGAGGTGCTGAGCCTGTGCGTGAGGAGACTGGAGGTGCTGTGCCTGGGGGTGCTGCGTCCGGGGGTGCTGAGCCCGAGAGTGCTGAGTCTGGGGGTGCGGCACCGGCAGGTACAGAGACTGCTGGTGCGCGGTCTCCTTGGAGTAGCCGCCTTCGTCCGCGTGCGCCTCTCTCCCCGCAGCAGCTGCACGAGTGGTACACTCGCCGTCAGGGTCGCGCTGCTGGAGCTCGGGGCTCTACCGCTGGAGGTGTTTCTGCTGTCGTCGCTGGAGCTGGGAGTGGTGCTGTGTCTACAGGAGGTGCTGGAGTCGCTGGTCCCGGAGCTGCTCGTACTGGAGGTACTGGAGCTGCTGGGGCTGGAGGTGCTGCGTCTGTGGGTGGTGCTGCTGGAGACACTGAGGCTGGAGACCCTGGGTTTGGAGGTGTCGGTTCTGGGGGTGCTGCTGCTGGAGACACTGAGGCTGGAGACCCTAGGACTGGAGGTGCTGGTTCTGGGGGTGCTGCTGCTGGTGGTGCTGGCGCTGGAGGTTCTGGAGCTGCTGGAGGTTCTAGAGCTGCTGGAGGTGCTGGAGGCACTGGAGCTGCTGGAGCTGCTGGTGCTGGTGCAGCTGCGTCGATTCGACTTTTCTTCGCTCCGCCGTCTCCGTCGTCTCTGCCGCCGCCTGACTCTGTTCTTTGCCAGGTTATTACCCTTCCGTCGTCTACTGGTCTTCCGTTACTGCCTGGCTCACCGCTCCCTGCTCCTCCTCCTTACACTAAGCAGCTCAGTGGTCTTGCTGAGCGTCGTGAGCCTGCGTCGCGTCCTGTCTCGCCTGTTCGTCCTGGTCGTTCCGGTCGTCGTGTTCCTCGTTCGCGTCAGCCGGCTGTCCCCGGTACACACCTCGTAGTCCGTCTTCTTTCGTCTGCTCCGAAGCCCGTTCCTCTACCGTCTCCCCCTGCGTCCTCTCTGCCTGACGTTGCGGACCCTGAGTCTGACCGGTTTCGTGCTGCACACCCTACTGTCACGCGTCTGTTAGCCACTGTTGTCACTGACTCGTCGTTTGAGTCTACTGCTACGTCTGCCTTGGTTGCAGACTGAGCTTGTTGAATTTGCTGCTGCCTGTCGTCTAGACTACGCCGCTAGTCTTGTTGCTGAGTCTGAGTCTGTCTGTCCTCCGTCCGTCGGGGGTGAGTGTGCTCTTGGCACGGACGTCCTTGAGGACAGGCATGAGGACCTTGAGTGTCTTGCAGCCGCTGCGCCTCATCTCGTGGCCATGCTGCTTGCCCCTGAGGGAGACCCAGGTGCAACAGACATCCCGACCCCGCGCTCTTACGCTGAGGTGATCGCGGGTGAGTACTCCTCTCAGTGGCAGACAGCCATGGACGCAGAGGTGGCATCCTGGAAGTCCACAGGCACTTACGTCGATGAGGTTCCCCCTCCTGGGGCGAACATCGTCGATGGCATGTGGATTTTCAGGGTGAAGCGGCCGCCGGGTTCTCCGTCTGTCTTCAAGGCTCGTTACGTTGCTAGAGGCTTCAGTCAGCGTGAGGGAGTTGACTTCTTCCAGACCTTCTCCCCTACCCCAAAGATGACCACTCTTCGGGTGCTGCTGCACGTTGCCGCTCAGCGTGACTACGAGCTTCACTCTCTTGACTTTAGCACAGCCTTCTTACAAGGCAGCCTGCACGAGGAGATCTGGCTGCGCTACCCATCTGGCTTCACTGGGTCGTTCCCTCCTGGTACCCAGTGGAGCCTCCGGCGGCCAGTCTACGGTCTCCGCCAGGCGCCTCGTGAGTGGCACGACACACTGAGGACTACACTTGCGGCTCTTGGGTTCGCTCCTTCGACTGCTGACCCGTCATTGTTTCTGCGCACCGACACTTCGCTGCCGCCATTCTACATCCTCGTGTACGTCGATGACTTGGTCTTTGCCACTGCTCTTACTGAGGCTCTCGCTCTGGTGAAGTCGGAGCTGCAGAAGAAACACACGTGCACTGACCTGGGTGAGCTGCGCAGCTACCTTGGCTTGCAGATCACCCGGGACAGAGCATGCCGCACCATCACACTGACTCAGTCACACATGGTGCAACAGGTCCTTCAGCGCTTCGGCTTCACCTGGTCCTCCCCACAGCCCACTCCGCTGGCTACAGGTCACTCGCTCTCAGCTCCACCTTCGGACGAGTCCGTAGAGTCGAGTGGTCCTTACGCAGAGCTAGTGGGCTGCCTCATGTACCTAATGACCTGCACTCGACCTGACCTCGCATACCCTCTTGGCCTTTTGGCTCGCTACGTGGCTCCTGGTCGGCACCGAAAGGTGCACATGGATGCTGCGAAGAGGGTACTGCGCTACCTGTGCAGTACATCGGGCATGGGGCTCGTGCTTGGAGGACGGGGTGAGGTTGTCCTCACTGGACACTCAGACGCGTCTTGGGTTGACGACCAGGCTACGCAGCGGTCGTCACAGGGTTACACCTTCAGCCTTGGCTGTGGCTCTGTTTCTTGGCGGTCTACGCGCTCGTCTTCTGTTCTCAGCTCCAGTTGTGAAGCTGAGATCTACGCCACAGCCATGGCTGCACAGGAGTTACGCTGGCTCACCTACCTGCTGACCGACTTGGGAGAGAGGCCTCGTTCTCCTCCAGTTCTGTACGTCGACAACAAGGCCGCCATTGCCTTGTGTCAGGAGCACAGACTGGAGCACAAAACGAAGCACATCGCTCTGCGTTACTTCCTAGCTCGAGAGTTGCAGCAGCGTGGTCAGCTTCGTCTTGCTCACGTGGCCACCAGGGCCAACACTGCTGATATCTTCACCAAGGCACTTCCGTCTGGTGATCATCAGCGCTTTTGTACTTTGTTGGGCCTTGTGCCTACGTTTCCACACTTGCTGTAGACTTTGCTTGTACGGTGATCGATACATATATACCTGCATGCTTGCTCTTGCTAGATACTGATCACTGCTCTGTTGTTGCTGTATATATATACCTCTGCATGTGAACTGGCCTTGTGGCCCTTTGCTTGTGCTCAGTGTGTGTGGTGACGTTGTGATCCACCCCGAGCTTGCTTTGCTTCTCTTGACTGGTCGTGTGACCCTTTGTTCTCCCCCACTTTGCCTATGGGAGTGTGTCAAACTATATGGGTTATATTTGTGTAGGATGTAGTGGGGTAGCCAATATGGGGTATGTCAAATTATATATATATGTGCTTGTTTAGGATGTCTAGGCTGTATGGGGTTTAGCACTAGGGGGTACACAAACTTTCTCGACATTCTCTTTCTTGTAGCCCAAACCCTTACCTAATCAATCCATTCTTGCCTAAGGTTCTAACATGGTATAGAGCAGGAGGTCCTTAGGACCTTAGTACCTGTTCTATTTGGGCCCACCTCAAAATCACCTGCGGTTACCGCGTTACCCCGCGCCCGCCCTACCCTACTACGCGTCGCGCTGCCCCTGCTGGCCGCGAGTCACTGCTACAGCTCGCATTTTTTATTTTTATTTTCGCGCGCTCCTCTGCCCGCTCTGCCCCGCGCGCGCTACGCTCGTCGCATCGTCCCGCGGCCCTCACGCGGCCCTTCCGTGGCCCTCGCGCGCCCTTGCGCGGCCCTTTCGTGGCCCTCGCGCGGCCCTTTCGCGGCCGTCCGCGGCTCTCCGCTGCCCTTTCGCGGCCCCTCCGCGGCTCTGCCGCCCTGCCGCCTCGGCGCCCCTTCGTCGCCGCCTCCGCAGCAGCGGCCGTCGCGCCTCCGCCTCGATCGGCCGCCGCCGCAGCTGCTGCCGTGAAGCCGCCGCTGCCACTGCTGTGACGGCCTCCTGCGGCCCCTGGAGCAGCCGCCCCTGCAGCAGCAGCTCCTGAGATAGGAGCAGCCGCCCCTGCAGCAGCCGCCCCTGGAGCAGCCGCCCCTGGAGCAGCCGCCCCTCTGCAGCAGCCGCCCCTGGAGCAGCCGCCCCTCTGCAGCAGCCGCCCCTGGAGCAGCCGCCCCTCTGCAGCAGCCGCCCCTGGAGCAGCCGCCCCTCTGCAGCAGCCGCCCCTGGAGCAGCCGCCCCTGGAGCAGCCGCCCCTCTGCAGCAGCCGCCCCTGGAGCAGCCGCCCCTCTGCAGCAGCCGCCCCTGGAGCAGCCGCCCCTGGAGCAGCCGCCCCTCTGCAGCAGCCGCCCCTCTGCAGCAGCCGCCCCTGGAGCAGCCGCCCCTGGAGCAGCCGCCCCTGGAGCAACCACCCCTCTGCAGCAGCCGCCCCTGGAGGAGCCGCCCTTGGAGCAGCCGGCCCTCTGCAGCTTCCGCCGTTTAGTAGCAGCCCCCGCCGCCGTCCCGGCCCTGCTCTGCCGCCCTGGTGCGGCCCTGACCCAGCTCGGGCACCTCGGCCTTGCCCCACTGCTTGCGGGCTTCTCCAGCCCGCCCCTGGTAAGCGCATCGCCGAGCCGTGCCTCTACTGCTACTGCTACTGCTCCTGCTCGCTTTCTTCTACTGCTGCTACTAGCCTGCTCCGCCTGCTGCCATGGCTAGTCCTGCTGTGCTTACCTTCGATGCTGAGGGTCGGGCGATAGACTTTGAGGTCTGGCTTGACGACTTGCAGCTTTTCCTGCAGTGTGATAGCAAAGACGATGTCTCGCTGCATGACCTCACGTCTGGTGCTTCCCCCCAACCTGCTGCTGATGCTGATGCTACTGTGCGCTCTCGCTGGAACACCCGCGATGCTGCTGCCCGCCTTGCTGTGCGTAGTCACCTGCCGTCTGCTGAGCGTGCGCACTTCACTCAGTTTAAGACCGCTAAGACCCTGTTCGATGCTGTCGTTGCACGCTACTCCTCCCCTGCCTCTGCTGCCCTTAGCCGCCTCATGCTCCCCTACCTTTTCCCTGACCCCGCCGCCTTTGATACCGTAGCTGACCTCATTGCACACCTCCGCTCTAGCGACACCCGCTACCGTGCTGCACTTCCTGCTGAGTTCTGCGCCACGAACCCTCCCCCCATGTATATCACCCTTTACTACCTAATCACCCGCCTCCCTGACTCCCTTCGCTCAGTCAGGGATCACTTCCTAGCCCTCTGCCCCACCACTCTCACCGTTGACCTCCTCGAGAAGGAGCTCCTTGCAGCTGAGAAGAGCATAGTCGCTGTGGGAGCCTCTCGAGGTGACCCCCGTACCCCTTTCTTTGAGGGGTGCTCCCCTGTCCCCCTTCTGCCCTCTGTTGCCTCTGCTGCTGCTGTCGACCTCCTTGGCACTGAGTCGGTCGGCGCTGCGTCTGCCCCTGGCGGGAGGCGCCGCAACAGCAAGGGCAAGGGAGGCAAGGGTGCTGGAGGAGCTGGCGGGAGTGGTGGTGGTGGCGGTGGAGGCGGCCGGGGGGGTGGGGGTGGAGGTGGGAGTGGGGGCGGAGGTGGGGGCTCTGGTGGCGGCGGTGGAGGCGGATGCAGCGGCAGCGGCGGCGGTGGGAGTGGAGGCGGCAGCGGCAGCGGCGGCGGCGGCGGTGGGAGTGGAGGAGGTGGCGGTGGCGGCGGTGGCAGCGGAGGAGGCAGTGGCGGTGGTGGCGGTGGCGCTGGTCGTGGTGGCTCTGTGCAGGGGGGAGGCTCTGGTGGTGGACAGCGTCAGCAGCAGCAGCGCTCTCGTCAGGCCCCGCCGCCCCAGCAGCTTCACCAGTGGTACGCTGGGCGTCAGCGGCCTGGGGGTGCTGGTCCCTGTACCTACGTTTTGCGTATTGGTGACCGCACAGGTGAGCCGTGTGGCGGCCCACACACCACCCAGCGCTGCTTCGGCCGCCTGACAGACGCCTGGCGTATCCGGTTCCCTGACGCCACTGAGCTCCCGCACTGGCATGAGCTACTTAGGTCGGGGGTTCCTATCTTTGATCTTGACTATGATGCTATCCTTGCTGCCATGTATGTTATGTCTACTAGTGATGACGGTGACTGTTACCTGAGTGTTCCGCCCAACCCGGGCGGTACAGCTGCTGCTCCAGGTGGCATTGAGTCTGCTGCTCCAGGTGCTAGCGAGTCTGCTGCCCCAGGTACTGGTGAGGCTGCTGCTCTAGGTGCTGGTGAGTCTGCTCTCTCAGGTACCACGTCTGCTCAGGCGTCGCACACTTTCACCCTTGACTCGGGTGCTTCCCGCTCCTTCTTTCGAGACCGCACCACTCTTACGCCGCTCAGTCGGCCGGTTGCAGTCTCCCTGGCAGACCCCTCTGGGGGTCCTGTCCTTGCTCACTACTCCACTGTTCTACCGTGTCCAGCGGTCCCGTCTGGCTCCCTGTCCGGTCTTTACCTCCCCTCGTTCTCTACGAACTTGGTGGCGGGTGCTGACCTACAGGATGGGGGAGTTGACCAGTTCACCCCTGCACGTCAGCGGGTGACCCACTGCACGTGTGCTGACACGGGCCGACACTTGGCCACGTTTACTCGTCGGCCGGGGTCGAGCCTGTACACACTGACTACCGAGTCTCCGCCGGTTGCTGTTCCTGGTCAGGTAGCTGCGTCGGGTCAGGTGTTTGCTGCAGCGTCTCGGTCTGGTCCTGAGTCTGCCCCCTGCTCGTGTCGCCTCCTGTCCCACGAGACTCTTCTCTGGCACCACCGTCTTGGTCACCCCTCCCTGCCTCGTCTCCGAGGCATGGCCTCTCGTGTCCTTGTCTCTGGTCTCCCCCGGTCCCTCCCTCCCCTCCCTCCGGGGCCTGCCCCTACCTGCGTTCCCTGCGTCGAGGGGCGGCAGCGCGCCGCTCCTCACTCCTCCGAGTTTCCGCCGACAGAGGCTCCGCTGCAGACTCTTCACATGGACGTGTGGGGCCCAGCCCGCGTCCGTGGACAGGGTCACGAGCGCTACTTCCTGCTGGTGGTTGACGACTACTCGCGTTACACCACAGTCTTCCCCTTGCGCCGCAAGGATGAGGTCACTGAGGTGTTGATCGACTGGATCCGCGCTGCTCGTCTCCAGCTCAGGAAGAGTTTCGGCTCGGACTTCCCTGTTCTGCGTCTGCACTCAAACAGGGGTGGAGAGTTTTCCTCCGGCCCTCTGCGAGCCTTCTGTCGTGCGAGGGGCATCCGGCAGACGTTCACGCTTCCGGCCTCTCCGCAGCAAAATGGGATTGCTGAGAACCGCATTGGCATGGTCATGGATGTCGCTCGCACGTCCATGATCCATGCGGCTGCTCCCCATTTTCTGTGGCCGTTTGCGGTTCAGTACGCGGCGCGTCAGATCAACCTTCAGCCCCGGGTCTCCATGTCGGAGACCTCCCCCACCCTGCGGTGGACGGGGAAGGTTGGTGATGCGTCTGCGTTCCGTGTCTAGGAATCTCGGGCTTTTGTCCGAGACTTGTCTGCGGACAAGCTGTCCTCCCGTGCTGTTCCCTGCGTCTTCCTTGGCTTCCCCCTTGACGCGCCTGGTTGGCAGTTTTACCACCCCACCTCGCGCCGTGTTCTGTCCTCTCAGGACGTCACGTTTGACGAGTCGGTTCCGTACTACCGTCTCTTCCCCTACCGCGCTGCCCCCCTTCCCCCCCCGCCGCTCTTCCTTACGCCAGGTCCCCCCCCGGTAGACCCCCTCCCCCCTCAGGGTCCTGCTCCTTCAGGTGTGTCTCAGGTAGACCCCCCCCCCTTGGCTGAGCCTTTGGAGGTCACTTCCGACACCTCTGGCCCACCTGAGGGGGGTGACGCTGCTGCTGAGGCCCCGGCGGCCGGGGTTCCCTCCGCGACCTTCTTCGCCGCCTCTGCAGCCGGTTACTGTTGACTCTGGTGCTGTTGGGGGTGGTGCTCCTGGAGGTGCTGCGTCTGGGGGTGCGGAGTCTGGGGGTGCTGAGCCTGCGCGTGAGGAGTCTGGGGGTGCTGAGCCTGCGTGTGCGGAGTCTGGGGGTGCTGAGTCTGGAGGTGAGACGCTTGAGGGTACTGGGACTGCTGGTGCGCGGCCTACTTGGAGTGGCCG